ACAAAACATAATTTCTTATGTTCACATAAGAATATTCAAATTCTTCAATTTTTACATTTGTGAGATTTCGTCCAAATTTTGCAAGCAAAAAATGGGTCAATGTCAATAGTCAATACTGTTGTGATGTACTGTAAGTAGCGCAGTCACTTTCAAACCAAATAAGTTACCACATGAGCTTTTAAGTTGAACCCATTGCGAAATCTGCATGTGGAAATCTTTCGGCCTCACGCAAAATTCCCAGTCGTGTGGATTCCTATTGAAATGACGGGATTTTGCTGTGAAAATTCACCAAACAATATTAAATGTGACCACACCTTTATGTCACTTGGTTGGTACCTGTAGATAGCGATATTATAGTATCTTCCTGAACAATAACACATGGTTTAATGATGCTGATGTATCACTAGCGCCCCCTTGCGCACTGAGGTTATATGTAGTATTTATGTAGTTGTTTGCTGTGTGTGCAACAGGACCATGTGTTGCAATGCATTTACCAAGCGTCTGCATCTGCATACTTGTGACAAATTAATAAATATAAAATTAAACCATTTCAAAAGTTTGGTTCAAAAAACATTCTTGTTCAAAAAACTTTTTTTCCCCAAGTTGCATTAATTGTATTTAGTGCAAAATTATACATACTGTAAGTTGAATGCTATCAAATGCAACACTTGTAATGCTATTTTGTTATTCAAATCAGTAGTTTAACTGAAGTTTAACTCCTCAACAACATGCAGTCTGAGTGTGATCTCGTTTCTATATGCTGAGACATTCTTGAATTATATTTCACATAATTGTCAACAAACAATATTGTCATATGTGTAAAAGCAGCATGGGACATCTGCACAAAGGATTGATTCAAACAACATGGAGTCTTTGAACAAGACCAAGAACACACTCCCCCCAACCCTTGAAATATGAATAAACAGATTGCAAGTGAAGAAATATTGCCTCAGATAGGGTGTACACACAAAAAAACAAACAATTTTATCTCACTTTCCTTCTTTATACTGTGTGCATCTGTACACTGCAATCTACATATAAAGTGAGTCCCATATTTATTGTTTCACTTTTTTTTTTCTGTGAAAAAACATGAATTCAGGAGCTGGTGTTTTATTTTTATTGTTTTTGAGTTCATAAATTACAGTGTACTGGACTGTGTTTAAAGGCCTAAAGTGTATTTTCCATTTGTATGCCATGAATAATTCATTGAAATAAAAGGTTTTGATTGCACGCAACTGATTATATATAATGTTACATAACAATACGCACTGACATATATGGCAAACTTAAAATAAACCTTATTTTTTTGTTTAGAGCGTGAGGTAACATCAGTGGCCTTTTGACCCGTGATTTGACACACACAACCACTGTCAACGAGGGAATTAACCTCATGATTCCGCTTGACAAATTAAACAAAAATATTACTTAAGGCTGTGATTCAAGCCTTTTTAGAGCGTTAAAAGGAAGATGCGAACATGTTATGATTCTAGAATATTATACTGCGTCAACGATATTATATAATGTCAAAAAGGTTTATCAAAATATGATGATAACATAGCATCCCTAAATCCCAAAACAGTCTCATCTTATCTATGCTGACACCACATCTTTGTGTTGTCAGCAGTTTTGTTTGCACTGCAAAACTGGTCGTAGTTGCTGCCTGACCAGTATTAACCCTTGTGAAAATCAAGTATACTTAAACATACTTGCAGAAAGATACTTATTACGGAAATAATATACTTTAAAATAATATACTGAAGTATGAATTGAATGTAATGTTTTCAGAAACATTACATGTTGTTTACAATTAAGTGAAAATATATTAAAGTTTATATGTACATTAAATGCAATCAGTAGAAATTCTGAGTGCTTTTTAACCCACTTAAGTAGGACTTAAGTACATCTTTATATGCAATTATAAAACAGAGTACAGCCGAATGTACTGAAAAGCATTAATGCTAAACTAAAATATACTTTATTGTCATTTCTATTTAAACTTGTATGTCATGTATGTAAATACATCAATAATTACACATTTGTAATTGATGGTTGCAATTTAGTACAATTTAAATGTAATTGCAAATAAATAACACACTGCAGTTAAAATTATAATAAAGTACTTTATATGTGCTTAGTATTTGTCAACTCATCAAAATACAGTTAGTGTACTTCTTTAAAAAGCACAAAAGACTTTAAAGTAAAACCTTTATTTTAAGAATATTATAAAGTGCACATTTTAAAAGTTCACTTAAGTGTGTTTTGAATCATTGTAATGAAAGTGGACTTTAAGTACACTTATATGTCAAGACTAATTTGAAATACACTACATTTAATACAATTAGAAATCTAAAACAGGATGCCGATGACAAACAAATCCAGTAAGTATTCCATATCCCAGAATGCTGTGGTAAAGAATGTCTCTCACACAATTGCACACTATAAGCCTGTTCACAGAAATTATGCATTCACATTAACATCAACTGATTTGAACTGAAAAGTCGGTCATCATCTACCCACACTAATGTCACTCTAAATTAGCAGTATGACTTCTTCCCCTTAGAACAGAAATGTCCACACAATGAAAATGCAGTTAAATTAAACTAAATTATTGGGACATGCTACATATAATAAAATGATGTAGCCTATTGGTGTTACAATATCCCTTTTTCACATACTGTAGACACATACAAGTGATAGCATCTAGCTAAATTCATTATATTTGAAACTCATTTCTTCTATTTACCTTTTTTTTCAGGTGAATACATTTAATACTAGTGGGAAGCAGCAAGCTATAAACTACTCCTAATTCCAATGTAGTTAAACTGTCGAGCTAGCTTTTTGGAGAGTAGTCAGCCAAACACTGCTACTAAATAAACAGTAACTACACAGAAGCTAATTAAGAGGGCAATATCTTTTTAAGCATATAATGAGCACAAAAACAATGAAGATCCCATTATACATATATTATACATATCCCATCCCTAGAAAAGGTTGGCATTACACAGAAAATTAAATGGTCAACTTTTAGACCCCACAGCTTTTATAATTCTCAATATCACCACATAACGAATGAATAACTCAAATGAATACTAACGAATTATACAACTACTGTAAGTAAATTCAATCTTACTGGATAGAGTTATACAATATGTAGCCTACTAAATAGCAAATCTCTGCTTGCTCTAATCTGCTAATTGTGACTATAAGGCATTAAAGGGGTCATATGATGTTGCTAAAAAGAACATTATTTGGTGTATTTGGTGTAATGAAATGTGTTTATGCCGTTTAAGGTTAAAAAACCACATTATTTTCCACATACTGTACATCAATGTTTCTCCTCTATGCCCCGCCTTTCTGAAACGCGTTGATTTTTACAAAGCTCATCTGTCTGAAAAGCGAGGTGTGCTGTGATTGGCCAGCTATCCAGTGCATTATATCGTCCTCTTTTGGAAGGCCAAACAAAGTGAAACAATGAAACACAGCATCTTCACGACATGGCGGCTGCAGCAACACTACAGCGAGAATAAAAGTTACGCCTTCTTTCTTTGAGTGACTTATACTGTCTTTTTACGCGTTGCGTTGTGTTGCATCGCGCCGCGTAAACATAAAACCACGTCTGAATTTGTGATTGGAGAAATTACAACAACAAGCGCTACTCTACACTGCTCAAAACTCGCTTTTGAATCATCAGTGGCAAATCCTTTAAATGAAAACATACTTACAGTCTGTGAGTCAGAACAGCCGGCATTGTAGTCTACTCTACCAGGATCAGGAAACAGTCCACCATAAAATGCGCTGGACACATCTGAATATTTGGGTTGAAGTGTTCTGGAACAGTGTTGTAAATACAACTTAACCACTGGGGGCATGTTAGAACGAGCCGTTTTAGGTAGGCGTGGTTGACTCTTAACTTTTATAAAGAATATCTCTTTGGATTTGAGACTTTAGTCTTTGCAACTTTACAGATCTTCTTTATGCACCAAGAGCTTGTAACACTTTAAAGAGGAAGGAAAAATTGAAATCACATCATATGACCCCTTTAAGATATTAAAACATTAACATCATGATTTTCTGTCCAGCTGCTTTAAAACAATTTGTATTGGGAAAAGTTCTAATTTGACTTTACAAGGTCATGATGCATTTTTTTGTGTGTTTTGGTCAAAACATGGGGACTTATGATGATGGAAATATTTGTTATTCAGAATGAATACATATTTTAGGTCTGTGTTGCTTTTGATTATATTTTGTTGTAAAAATTATGTTCTAAGTTACCATTAGGATGATTAGTGTTCTTATTGGTGAAATGTCTTCCTTTCCAACCAGTTTATACAACCTTTGAGGTATAGACATATTTTTATTTAACCTTTTAAAGGGGCTACTCATGCCACAGTCATTTTTCATTCTTGGCTTAGAAGTAAAAGCTGGAAATACCTTTGTAACAAAGTACTGTTAACGAACATATAGACGCCGTCCACGCTGCTAGGAGCGGCGTTTTTGATGAAAATGTAAACATGCACAACAAAATAAGCACAACAAAATCAACACTGGTGAGAAAAAAAAACATTGACAGAACGTTCCTTCGGCATTATCCTGAACATTGCAAGCATTAATTTCATGTGATAGGCTCTCAGGAGCATGCGTAAACGCCACATACTTTGATTTTCCAGGCAAAAACGTCCCAAGTCCTTCAAACATGAAAATTCAGTAATGCTTTATTTTAAGGATCAACTCTCATTTAACCAATTAACTAGTTGCTTATTAGCATGCATATTACTAACATATTGGCAGCTTATTAGTATTTATTAAGCACATATTAATGCCTTAATCTGCATGACCATATTTTAGATCCCTTAATCCTTAAACCCCATAATTTAACAACTACATTACTACATTCATAAGCAGCAAATTAGGAGTTTATCGAGGCAAACATCATAGTTAATAGTTGGTTAATAGTAAGAATTGGTCCCCACACTAAAGCGTGACCGAAAATTCTTACATAGTCCCAGGGTGCGAACTACAGGGGAGCTAGGGGAGCTCGGCTCCCCTTAATAAGACATGGGCTCCCCAGAAAACATGATTTGTGAAATTTTGGGGGGTCTCAAAAAATATTGACAATGTGTTATTTTGACGTGCAATTTCAGTTTTGTGTAATGTGATCATCGTGGATTATTATGTGTAAAATTGCAAAAATATCATTCATTCATGCATGACTGTGATTTAAACCTAATTCACTTCAATAAAGATAACTATACATGCTATTCTTGTCATGAGCATCAAGGTGTGGGGGCGCTGCGGTGCAAATTCCACTCATGTTTAGTACATGTTAACCCAAAATATTGCCCCAAAATATAAACGTTGGACTCTGTTGTCGATTCTGTGTTAAGGTAAGGCATGTTATTCACAATAGCCTGACGATGAGTAACTTTAACCGTTGTTAATAACTGGGCTCCCCCAAAGTCCACGGTATAGTTCGAACACTGCATAGTCCCTTTAGGTTTGCTCAACTACCCAATACACAAGTTAGACAAATTTGGTGGAAAGAATCTGCCAAACTAAGAAAGGTCTACATCACTATTAGTTTATGATATAGTTTCCTCATCTTAAACTTAAAACTTCCTCAGCTTAAAATACAATCATATTTAATTGGATCCACAAGTAAAACAAACAGTATTAGTTTTGAGTCGACAGAAATTACTATATTATGTTTGCTGAAAGCACAGACTAACTTTAATTGTTAAAATTTTCCCCATCAGTTCCACCAATACTAATTTTGCATACTAAATAGTATGGATAATATGTAAATTAGGATTCAGCCATAGCCTCAACAGAACACTGGGATGTGGGGTGCATTATGGTCTGTCCTATTATTTCTCAAGAAAAAAGGCCCAAAGGGTTGTTAATTCATCATGGATTTAAAACGGGATATAAATGGATGAGGAAATAATGCCATTTACTTAAGAGCAATTGTCTAGAAATCATTAACTTTGGCTCAATTAATTAAAGCTTTTTATTCATCTTCCCCAAATACTCCACAGAGGGAAAGAAAATATTAACAGAGCGAGAGAAACCGTTGGTTAAGCATAAAAGGCTTCATCACACAGATAATAAAAGAGTAATTTAATTCTCACTCTGTATATGCTAAACACCAGAATCATTATGCTGAAAACCCAATTTAAAATCATCTCATCAGAACTTCTAAAGTTCATTGAGCACATCTGAGCACAAGAGAGATATCAAGAACAGCGAGGATAAAATAAAGTGAAAATAAAGTTCAGTTCTTTCCATAAAAACAATGTGTTTTTTTATATTACTCTCAATGAAATCCATAGTGCACATTACAAGATTTGGCTTGGGCACAAACAAACCACTCACTTGGAATATATCACATCTGAAATATAATGAAATATAATCTGTTTACAGGTTTATGGGGTTATGGAAATCTTGACGACGAGTTGTTGCCTGCACTCCAACTTACCCACAATTTCTCACACCAAGCATGAAATGTCGCATACATAAAATATAGTTCTCCAACTCCAGGTGTTGTTATCCTTGAATTCAAGCCATCATTATTAGAAAGTGATACTGATGAGTTTGTTTATTACTGTTTAAATCATGTTTATATTTTTATTATTGGTGTTCCACTTGAGGAATAAAGGTGGGGTATAAAACAGCAGTGCACACTCAGGCGTCTGACATTTTAGGGAGCCCTTTCAGAGTCATAAAGGTGCCAGAGAGATGGATGAGAGAAGAGAAAGAGTGCAAAGCCAGACCATCAGTGGAATAAAGAGAAGGGAGCAGTGGAAATGTGGAGGAAAGTGAATTAGAGAAAGATTATATGGACAGGGAAGAATATAACCTCTCTTTCTTGACCCTTACAAAAATACACCAAGGTAACAGCAGTCTGCTCTAAAATACCATTGTTACTAGTTATTGCTATTGGAATAAAAACTGTTGTTACTTGGTATTAGACACCAGCCACAAGATTCTAAAAGGTTATTTTGCCAGTTAAAGATGATCCTCTGATAGTATCATGGTGTCACAAAGTGATTTTTTTGTTAGGAACTTTACGATTTTTTGCATTGTGAAATTGTCATGACAGTTAAGCACATTTCCCCCAAATTTGCATTACTATAATGCATACTTTAATTATTATAATGAATTTATTTTGCATGCTTCCCATAAGATTTTCATTATTGTTATAAAAATACTTTAAATTGCAATACCTATATCTACTATAAAATAAGAATTGTTGTAAAAGCATGCTTGTCAAAATGCAAAAAAACATCCAAAAATGTGTCGTAATAGAAAATAAAAATTGTGCATTTTAAAATAGCATTTATAATATAGTGAACATATTTAGACTTTTTTTTTTTACAGTGTGTGACATTGTGAGATTCACCCATTAATATTTAATAAATATGTTTGACCAGCTTTGTCTTATTTATGCAAAATTTGCAATATGTCCTATTTTATATTCTTGATTTTTAGGTAAAATATGATTTGATGAGATTCACCCATTAATACTTGATGAATACGTTTGACCAGCTGTTAGGTGCATTGTTTTCATGGTTGACAAAAAAATAAAACATTATAATTGTGAGGCAAAATGTGCTTAATTGTCATGAAAATAATGCTGCAATGCAGAAACTCGAAAAACAGACTTCATTTTTTTTATCCAAATAGACATATTTGTATTTTTTTAGATTTGTGATTTTCAGGTTAAGTATGATTTGCATTTTGTGAGCTTCACCCAACTGTGGTATTTGATTTAAATGGATCCCGTGTGCGTTACATCATGAACAGCCTGGGTGAGAGTGGGAAAAAAAAGATTTACGAATGAATGGGTGAACAGGCAAAAAGCAAGCGTAAGGAGTCTCTGGTGAGAAGCCGAGTGTGTTTTATACAGCAGGTGTGTAGAAGACCTCTCCACTGGTCAGTCGGCGCATCAGCTCTTTCCATAGAAGCTCCCTCTCCATCTGCACTCCTTTCATAATGCCGCGGTTCTCCTGTGCCCGACGGGACAAATAAGGAATCACCTCGTTCACCGGACCATAAGGAACATACTTGTACACAGGGAATCCTGCCTGAGCTGGAGATATGAGCAGACAAAAAAATATATATATATTTTTTTAACTGTTTTACTGCATTTCTTTGGTCATGTATCCATTTGATTGACATGAATTTTATAACTGTACTCTTGGTAATACTGTACATCTTGTACTATCGTATAAAACTTCACTATCTTGGTAATACTTTATCTTATCTTACACTATTATATATAGCATGGTGTTCCAAATATATAACTTAAATATTACAACATATAAAAACTATATATATAAAATGCATGTAAATTTCATAAATTATTTTTATGAAGGTTCATTTATATATACACACATACACGTTTGTGTGTGTGTGTGTGTGATTTTTGTTATATTTTAATTTTTTCTATTATTATCATTTTAATGCGTCTAGCATATGTGTAATTTTAATGTGTATAAATCAACCATCGAAATAAAAAATTGCTTGTAATTTCTTGACAACTACTGCAGTTTATAACAGGATTTTTTTCTTAAAATAAAACATTAGCTGAATTAAAATATATATTTAAAGAATTGTTTATGTATATATATATATATATATATATAGAGAGAGAGAGAGAGAGAGAGAGAGAGAGAGGGAGAGAGAGCGAGTTTTATTTCACCTAGTTCACAAGGCAACATTTCTCATTTCATCTCGATATACTACAGCAACTAAAAATTTAACTGAAATAAAAATAAGAAAACCTAACACTAAAAAATACTAATAAAATAATAAAAGTACTAATAAAAATACAAAGTAAAACACATCAAAATTACTAAAACTAAACTCTAAAACAATAAATAAAATCTAAAAATAGTTACAAATATTAAGAAAAACTACAATAGTACCTCATCAATACTAAAACAAGAGATAATGATATCCAAATAGGTTTATAATTAATACAAATTATCAAATTTTACTGTAATTTCACTAATGTGATTTTATAAACACTTCTAGCATGTGTGTGTGTGTGTGTGTGTGTGTGTGTGTGTGTGTGTGTTATATTTTATTTTTATCTATCTATAACTAATATGCTATACACACACAATAATAATAATAATAATAATAATATATAATTGTCATTCAATTTTAAATCAACCCCAACTATGTAGAAAATTGCTTGTCATTGTTTGACTAATATTGCAGTTTATTACAGAATTTTTATTTAAAACAAATATTATCTGAAATGTTATACACACACACACACACCATAATAATAACAATAATAATATATAATTGTATATAATATACAGTATAATTGTCATTCAATTGTAAACCAACCCCAACTATGTAGAAAATTGCTTGTTATTGTTTGACTAATATTGCAGTTTATTACAGGATTTTTACTTAAAACAAACATTATCTGAAATTTTATACACACACGTACATACGTGTGTGTGTGTGTGTGTGTGTTCACCTAATGGAAAGCTGATTTGGTCGCACATTCCCAGGAGCTGGCCGAAGTACACCTTCTTATCTGTGGGTGCCAGACCCATTTCATTCATCCTGTTAGAGCATAAACACACAGAGCGCCATCACAGAAAGTGAAAAATGAGAGAGGCCCCTTTGGCAATGTCATTTAATACCGGATACATTCTGGCGATTGCTCACTCAAAGTTTTACACCCTCTTATCGGTTACAGCCATTACACGCACGAACAAGACACATTCTGAGACACTTAAGGTGATATTAAGTGTGAATGATGTAAAAGGAGGGTAACTAGTGTGGACCACCATATGAATCAAGCCCTGCCGACACTCTTTGACATTGTGACAGAGAATGTTAATGACAGCGGTCACTGGCACACCTTTGTCAAACGAGGTTACACCCCTAAGGAGTGATTACAAAAAATGTATGAATTGTTATGAATGAAATGTTAATTTACACAAATTAATTAACTCCCAGAGGGATCTAAATGATCCTGGTGATGCAGGGAAGGACCTGATCACTCTAAATGTGAATGTGAGTTTTTCTTGCTTAACATCTCTTCACTTTATGTCCAAATGTTGATTGTGTGACTTTTCCAATGCATTATATGTATATCGTTTATTGATCTACCATCTACACTACCGTTCAAAAGTTTTTGATTTTTTTAAATAAATGTTTATTCGGGAAAAATGCATTAAATTGATCAAAAGTGACGGTAAAGTATTTTTCTATTTCAATAAATTATGTTCTTTTGACTTTCTATTCATCAAAGAATCCTGAAAAAAATGATCAAATTTTCACAAAAATATTAGATTTTTTTAACATTGATAATGATAACATATGTTTCTTGAGCAGCAAATCAGCATATTAGAATGATTTCTGAAGGATCATGTGACACTGAAGACTGGAGTAATGGCTGCTAAAATATAAAAAAAGTAAATTACATTTTAAAAATATATTAAAATAGAAAACAGTTATTTTGAATTATAATAATATTTCACAATATTACCCTTTTTACTTTTATTAAATAAATGCGGCCTTAGTAAGCATAAGAGACTTCTTATAGTAACATTAAACATTTTTTCAAACCCCACACTTTTAAACGCAATTGTACGCTCATTGCAGACTTTAAGTCTTAAAACATCAAAATCCATCATTAAAATATTAGTACATTTAAAAAATGATAATCTATAATGATAATAATAAAGCGTGTACTTAAGAACTTTTAGTGTACTTAAAAGTTAGAGCGCACTGGAGATGATCGCTTATGAAATATGAGAGATTTTATCAAATAAGGACAATCAAGATAATTATCACATATTTTGAGACATTTCCAATCAAAACTGTGCAAAAAAAATATTATGCAATGCGTATTTGGGATACATAAAAATCTAGTTGTGAAATTAGCTGTGGTGAGATTCAGCCATTTTATTCAAAAAAAAAAAATTAAAATCTAATTTCAACCACCATCATTTCCACCAAAAAATGAATGGATATTTAAGTTGTGGTGGAAATTACATTTGTTTATGATGGTTCATATACTGTATATATAAGAGAAAATCAGTCTTACCTTCTGAGTGTATGTTTAACAGTGTCTATATTGTGTGATGCCACCATGACATTTGCTTTCTTATTCTGTTCGATCTCCTCCAGCACGTAATCCAGACACCTGAAAGACACCAGCTGCTCATAAATCATCCTGCTTTTGGTCCGCACTTTCAGCCAACATGACTGTTGACCGCCAAATACAAAAGCTTTTGAAAAGATCTGATTTATTTTGAAAGCTGTCAGAATGTGCCTTAATCATAAGAGGCTTACCTATGGTGAGATAAGCCAAGACTCTAGATAAATCTCTCCTGCCTGTGAAACATTCTGTCAGCACAGAGACCGTCTGAATGAAGCACAGTTCAGGGGAAAGTATGATGTTCTGATAAGGACCTACTGTATATGTGACAAGTATCTTAGGACTGCTGATCTGGACTCAGAAACTACTTGTCATCCTGCTCCTTAAAGAGAGGCAAAGTGAACCTGACCCCAGACTTCCCCTTCCTGATAATTCTCTGTTCCAGAACAGCATGTTGCCCACCTAGATGGTTTCAGTAAACTCAGAATGGCAAAAAAAAATAAATAAATAAAAGAATAAGACCAAACAAGCTTTAAAATAGTTAAATGGCTAAAAAAAGAAAATAAATAAAGATGAATGACATAATAAACAAACATAATTAAAATAACATTTTAATTTGTATTCTTCAAAAATTTTCATTTTTGCAGAATAACTTCTATATATAAAATAAAACAATATAATTATTTAATTGTATAATGGATATAAATTTCTCTAGTTAATTCAGTGTCTAAAATAAAATAAAATCCTTCTAAAAAATTTTTTTTTTGGTAATCACAAATGACTGTAAAAGTCATGTAAACTCAAAGGTCAAAATGATTTCTGGTAAGAGTTTAAGAGTCAGGAGCCAAAGACTGATGGGTAATGATGTCATTATATGGATAAGACTGACCTCATGAATATTAAATCAGCTCACGATGACTGTGCTTTTCTCGACCGTCCAGTCATGTTACGTAATTATGTAATTACATGTCCAGTCAATTACGTAACATAACTGGACATGGCATAAAAATTATTATAATTTTTTTTTTAAATTAGACCAAACAAGCATTCAAATATTTAAACAGCTAAAAAAAACATAAGATGAAAGTCATAATTAACTGGCATAATTTAACATTTTAACTTCTATTCTTCAGCAATTGTCAAGAACCAGGCTTCCTATAGTATCGTAAAAAATTTACATTTAAAATGTGATTTCTAAAATAAAATAAAATAAAATAATTTTGTTTACTATAAACAAATTATTATTGTTTATAATAATTTGTATTTAAAATACAATTAAATACAATTAAATTATATACAATTAAATACAAATCTATAATGAATATACATTTCTCTACTTAATCTAACGTCTAAAAAATACATTTAAAAATCCTAATCCAGTAGTCAAAAAATTACTGCAAAAGTTACATAAACGCATTGGTTGAGTTATGGTAAGAATTTAAGAATCAGAAGCCAAAAACTGGTGGGTAATGATGTCATTATTTGGATAAGACTGAGCTAATGAATATTAAATCAGCTCACAGTGACTGTGCTTTTCCAGACTGTCCAGTCATGTTAGTTCATATTGGTTAATATTCATGAGCCAAAGTTGTTCTATGCTGTCTTGCCATTGAAATATCAACCCAGCACTGTTTGCTTATACATAATCTAATATTAATCCAGAGATACAGTACTATATATAGTACTATATATATCAAACAAATGTAATATTATAAAACAATTACACATAACACATATAAAATAAACTAATAAAAAATCCTAAAGGTATAGCAAAATAAAGCTTATATCTGAAATTTGGTTTTAATGGGAGATAAGAAACGATATCAGACGATGGGGATGTGAGCTGAAAAGTGGTCCATGGCCACACTGCATTAGACTCTATTGGAATCAGCTGTGAGGGTTAGTGGAGTCTCGTGTGTGTTTTTTGCGAGTAGCTCTATTTGTTTTGCATGTGTGAGTGACCGTTAATGGAGCTGCTGCCCAAGAAGAGCTGTCAGATGAGTCACTTATGAGGCTCCATTTCAGTTCAGATGCTGCTTAGAAAGTAGCAGCCTTTGTAGACAACGAGGCCACTCACTAGGTTTTGGAACAGACTTCAAGCGTAAAATTTGCAAGGAAGAATTTGGAACATTTTTTGCCTGTGGTACATTCTGTTAGTGGATTCATAGTCGGGGTTGATGGGGTCGTCGTATCCAATCTCCGCAGCTCGGCTTCTCTCCTGGTACATGTAAGCCCCCCTTACCAACTTGGCACCGAAACACCAGCCCTCCCGTCTTGATAGCTCCACATCCATGGACACGTTATCAAATGCCTCCTGTGCACAGAGAATTTATTACATTGCTACAGATAACCTGACTTTGTATGAATTTGATATATCATGTAAACAAACATTTGTAATGCAGACCTCCCTCAGAAACCAAATGGCAAAAATTGGTTATTCATAAATTGTCATGGTATTGAAATTAATGCTGTGGGGACTTGTTTTAATATGTAAAGAGGATAGACAACATTAAAGGAATAGTTCTGTCAGACTCTGTTCCGTGTTTTGTGGTTGTTTTCCTCATGTGCCTTCCTTTCCCATGTTTAATTTATCCCAGGTGTTTCCCATGATGTTTCATTGCTCCCAGGTGTGTCTCGTCATCCCCTCCTCCTGTGTGTATAAATAGTGTTCCCTGTGTGTGCTCCAGCATCCGGTATTGTTTGTGTCTACAGTGCTATGTGTGATTCCCCGTGAAGATTAATAAATTCCTTGGTTTCTGTACTCTTGGTCTTCTTGTTCCTTGCTCCGTGTTCCCGCACTGTAGCAGATCGTGACAAGTTCATTCTAAAATGAAAATGTACTCACCCTTAGGCCATCCGAGATGTAGATGAATTTGTTTCTTCATCAGAACAGATTTGGAGGAATTTAGCGTTACAGCTCTTGCTCACCAATGGATCCTCTGCAGTGAATGGGTGCCGTCAGAATGAGAGACCAAACAGCTGATAAAAACATCACAATAATCCACAAGTAATCCACATGACTCCAATCCGTCAAAAAGCTAAAAAAAAAGCTGCATATTTATAATAAATGCATCAATAAGAAGTTTTTAAATCATTGCTTCCAGCTAAAATACAAGTCCTCTATCCATAATGTGGCTTTCTCCACTGAAGAGGTTGTCTCGTCTGAATCGGGAGAGAAATATACAGTATCAAGCACTATATAACAAGTGTCTAAAACTGTTCTAAACAAACATGTCTGTGGATTTTGATGTGAGAGGACAACAGGGGATGTACTTCACTGGAGGAAGCATTATTATGGATTATGGAGTCATATTTTGATGGTTAAAATGTCTTAATGTTGGATTTACTTCTTGCAAACATGCTTTTCACTTCACAAGACATTAACTGATGATGTCTTGTGATTGTGATGTTTTTATCAGCTGTCTGGACTCTCATTCTGACGGCACCCATTCACTGCAGAGGATCCATTGGTGAGCAAATGATGTAATGCTAAATTTCCTTAAATCTCTTCCAATGAAAAAACAAACGCAACTACATCTTGTATGGTCTAAAGGTGAGTAAACATTAATCAAATTTACATTTTTGGGTGTTATCTACTGTATTTTCTGGAAAATAAGTAGCAACGGGTTAAAACTGCATTGTTTACAGAAAAACACAGATAAGTTGTGTCTGTGTATAAAAGCATTATTACATTCAGAAATAATGTAAAATACCAGTAAATAAAAACAGAAATGTTTACAAACATTATAAACATGTATTTTAGTTTCCCTCATTCTACAACATATCCAGAAAAAATTGCAGAACAGAATAGGAATGAAAAATATAAGTATAAAACAAACATGAATTATAGTGACATTATAAAACAACATTTATTATAAACCCTAGAATAATGCATTTAAAGTGAAACTACCTAGATTTGGCAAATGCGCTATACAAATATTTTTGGGCTCACGTATCTCTCTCGTCTGGCACAAATTCAAATCCTGATCGTTTTGGAATATCAGTTGCAGCACATTTTTGATAATTAAAAAGCACAAATTATATTCTGGAAAAGTTGGTACATATAAATGTCTTAGCAATAGTAACAAAAACAGCATATTTATTCATAAATGCTAAAGAAAACGGTCATGAAAAACTAATTATTACCATTTTTGATGCAAGAATCCATGACCAACATTATAAGCAGACCCTAAAGTATATGGAGAATCAAAGTTGTCATAAGTGTGCGTGCACTGCATGTGTTTAATTGTCACCATCATAATTTTTTACATTTTGAAGATTAATTGCAATATGAAGACCGATTCCAAGCACCACGGTGCTAAATATCAGTTTTGATGCTGCATTGTCTAAATGTTATCCTGCTATTACTGTATAGCATGTTTTCTGCACAGCATCTAACTGTAGATAAATCCCAGAATATCATCATGTGATCCACGTTAACACCATTCAAAGGTGTCAGACGTGTGTGTGTGTGTGTGTGTGTGTGTGTGCATGTGTGAGGCTCACTTTGAGGTAGCACTGATAGGTGTTGAAAACGACAGCTTTGTCTCTGTTGAAGATTCTCTTCATTTCCACAGTGAGTCTGCTGATGGCAGGTTGGAAATACGTCTGTTCGGCATCCACCATCAGCCTGACGCCATTTTCCACCGCATGCTGTTCAGCACATGAGAAGCAGGCGGCGAGTTAAAAACACATTAATCAGCTGACTAAAAAAAGATATCACCACAGACAGCGGCATTTTAATTGATGTGGCAACCGTCATTCCTGATATAACCAAGGATTTGTCAACAAATAACCTCCGCTTATAATAATGACAGTGATACAGTGGTGCTAAAAAGTATTTGGACATTTAAAAATGCTTGCATTAGATAACAAAATAACAAGCCAAGTGGCATTCATTTTAAATTGCACATGCAAAACACTTCAAAATAAAAGTAGTTTGATAGGTTTAAAGGCTAAAACAATAAATATACTGTTCAAAATGAAAATACAAAGCATTAACTACACTACTGTTTAAAAGTTTGGGGTTGGAAAGGTTTCTTAATGTTTTTTTTAAATAAAAAGGTCTCTTATGCTTACCCAGGCTGCATTTATTTGTTAAAAAATACAGTAAAAACAACAATAATGTGAAATATTATTATAATTTAAAATAAGTGTTTTCTATTCCAATATACTTTAAAATAGAATTTATTCCTGTGATGCAAAGCTGAATTTTCAGCATCGTTACTCCAGTCTTCAGTGTCACGTGATCCTTCAGAAATCATTCTAATATGCTGATTTGCTGCTAAAGAAACATTTCTTATTATTATCAATGTTTAAACAAAGTTATGCAGCGTAATATTTTTGTGGAAACCATGGTACATTTTTTTCAGTATATTTCGATGAATGGAAAGTTCATAAGAACAGCATTTATTTGAAATAGAAATCTTTTGTAGCATTATAAATGTCTTTACTGTCACTTTTGATAAATTTAATGCATCTTTGCTGATTTTTTTTTTTTTTCAGACCAAAAACAACATCAACAACAAAATCTTACCCCAAACTTTTAAGGTTGGAAATTATGTTGGCATAAGTTGCATCACACCGCAACTCACGGTAGAATGAGTGAGATCCACTAGGTCACAGTTCCAACTTGTAAAAAACAACTTGGATTTTTTGGAGAACCAATTTGGAGCAAAACTGTTATATGCAATCTCTAAACTTTGTTTGATTTGGTACTTCCAGGCTGAAAAACAGGAAGCCTTGAGTCTACGGTGAGTCACACTGCTTGTACCAGCGGCCTTTCACAGTGCGACATAAACCCGATACATGTTCCTGGCATCAAGTCGACTGGGCGGAACAGCTCTCTAACCTCCACACTCTGCTGAAGGCTTTCTCAAAATCAATCTCTGTTACATTCTTCATCCATGACTGTCTGTTAGACTATGACCTTCTGCCACTCTGCATGAATACCACAAGAGAAATATAAGAGGAACACAGCCAATGAACGCACCTTAGCCAAGACGTCCAGTCGCTGAAGCATCCTTTTCATCTGCCTTTCCTCTTCCTCCGTGAACTTGGACAGAAGAGGCTCCAACTCACCAGTCTGTTAAAATAACAAATAAAAAAATGGAATGAAATTCAGTATTTGAACAGAAATTCAGAATATGGGTGCATTTTCATTTGAGAAGTGAATCTTACTAATATTAATTTTCTTTTAAGTACAGTTTTATTTATTATTTTTAAACAGGTGGTTTTGGATTATTGGACTGAGATCTTTCAAGTAGAGGGTACAGTTTTTGTATTACATTACCTTCTCCTATTCCATTTTATTATGCAATAAGAAAGGCATTCATAGGCTGACTTCCTAAAGATTATAAACATTGGAAGAGTTTATAGCATGAGTTTGAAGAAAAACTCCCTGTCTGTCCGAACAATAGAAGAAAGAGGTGTTTTGGAAATCTGACTGGAAACAATATTCATTAGAGCTGCATGTTAATTGTTATTGATCATACTTGGGGTTGGTACTGAGCTTTTGTTTTGTAACAATTAGTGATATAAACAAGTGTTACTTCAGTATTACTTGTAATAGTGTTTATTCTTATTTTGAATTAGAATTTACTTTTATATTTTCAGTTTTCGGATACGTTGTGTACGTTCAGATCAAAGCATAAACAACGTATCCGCGTACATATGTTGTTTACGTATGTGATACTCTCCAAAATGGCAAAAAAGGGTGACGCGGAGGAGACGAATTGTTCAATAAAGTCGTTATTTTTGTTTTCTTAACGCACAAAAAGTATTCTCGTAGCTTCGTAAAATTACGGTTGAACCACTGATGTCACATGGATTATTTTAACGATGTCCTTGCTACGTTTCTGGATCTTGATCGTGTTAGGATCCTTGCTGTCTATGGGAGGGTCAGAGAGCTCTCGGACTTCATCAAAAATATCTTCATTTGTGTTCCGAAGATGAACGAAGGTCTTACAGGTTTGGAACGACATGAGGGTAGAGTAATTAATGATAGAATTTTCATTTTTGGGTGAACTATCCCTTTAAGTTATGCAAAAAAATGAAGACAACCCCCAAAAATTAAGATTTTCTATACTTGTGATGGAAGCCTCTTGCTTCTCTTGCAGGAAAAATTCCAGACATATCTTCATAATCGAATGACCTGGGAAAAACTCAAAACTGCGAAGGGGCATTTGCTGTGTTTATAGAACCAATTAGACCATGAGAAATCGATAACCCTCTTAATTTATGCTGTGGTTAAGGTATCCATTTCTTGCTGTCTGCCTACCTGCAGGTTCGGGACAACCAGTAGATCAGATATCTTCGTTCTCTCGTCGATCAGACGGTTCCAGTCCAGCATGTCCACCATGCTTTGGGGAACAAATAAAATACAGCATTCACGTTTCAGCAGCTTGTCACAAATGATGTTTCTTAAACATCAAAAGATGTGCATGCATCATTACGGAACTGGTCGATTCTGCAGCGCAAAGTGCTCTTATATGAGTTTAGTTACTCAGGGGTTTAGTTGACTCGAGGGGGTCAAGCAGAGTAATGGAGCACCCGTGGAATAGTCCTTGAGTAGCTCTCCTCGGTTCATAAGATAACTTCATTGTCTGCCATTGATTGGAAAGATTTACAAGTTTGAGTGTCAGAACAGCTACGGGAAACTGGTGTTTCTCACCCTGATGAGTGCAGTCGTCCATCAGAGAAGCAGCTCTGAATGTTGCCTTGAGCTCCCAGTCTAGCTAGACATGTCTGCAAAGAAAACACACACGTTTCCATTCATCAGACCAAACACTCCAAAAAGACAGCATGATTAAAGGGAGAGTTCACCCAAAATGAACCCATTGGGTTTTTGTGTTCCAAGGAGCGCAAAGTGATACATTCTGAGGAATCAAGGGTCAATTCATGTAGTATCACTATCGTTCACCCAAAAATTATAATTGGCTGATTTCTGTTTGATTTGTGCACATTTCTCTCTTGATTCAGACAACACAACTTTTTCCCTGGAGAAAGTAATAATATAGATAGAGGACTTAGAAGCAATGGTTTGGAATTGAAAACGTCTTAATAATGGATAGGTTTATTATAAACATGCAGCTTTTTGCTTTACAAGACATTAATTGATGGACTGGAGTGGTGTGGATTACTTGTGGATTCTTGTGATGTTTTATCAGCTGTTTGGGCTATCATTCTGACGGCACCCATTCACTGCAGAGGATCCACTGGTGAGCAAGCGATGTGATGCTAAATTTCTCCAAATTGGTTCCGATGAAGAAACAAACTCATCTTGGACGGCCTAAGGGTGAGTAAATTTTCAGCTAATTTCCATTTTTGGGTGAACTATTCCTTTAAGCAAAACCCACTTCGGTTTATCTAATGGAAATAATCACGTATAAATGTCCCGTGTAAGTGTCTGCTAAAAGACTACTTAATTATTTATTGTCATGTTAATTACATTTTGCCATTAAAATGAATGAAGCTCATACTGTACAGTCATTGCAATATAGCGTCCAGTTGCTTGCTGCAGGTCAGATTTGTTACAGCCGCCTTACAGTCTATTGCAGTATTAAACACGCTTTAGTGTTGGTTGATCTGTGCGTTTGGCCACAGTTTGAACCCAATTCATACCTGCAATTGCTCTAGATCCAGTTTCTGCTCCAGCACCTCCACGCCGTCTTTTCCCTGCTTGGCAGCCAGGAAACTGAAAAAGCGTCTCCATTTCACCAGCACCTCGGAGAACTGGAGCTACAGACGCCCGAGGGAAGGATGAGGAGCCTGTTTAGTTCACCAAGGTGATGGATTTTAACCCATGTTTTCTGATGAATGAACCCTGCCTGAACCTCAGTCTTACCAGGAATTGTGGTCGCCCCAAGGCAGTCGTCTTAATAGCCGAGAAACCGTCTTCAGAACTTCCACCTGAGCAGGCAGGTGATTTTCTTTTAGTTATTTTAGAGGTAACTGCAGCAATGGACGTGAAACTGCCTTTTTCAGGAGCAATTTTCCAGGAACGCTGAATGAATTCTATGCAGTTATACTTAGTGTTGCCGGTGCATTACAATGGGTGTTTCTCCAATAGTGCTGGCATAACGGAAAACTTGAGCTGCATGCACATTCACAAATATAAATGCTTTGAAAAGTTGGTCAGCTTCCATGCTTTCTTGGCACTCTTACACATACACTAAAAATATATGCAAATAATCTGCATAGCACACAACAAGGATTAAAGGAATCACAGGATAAAACTTTGCACCACTTTCCACGAATAGAGTACATTTTGGTGTCCCATCATTTCTTTGAAAGGAGGCATACATCTCAGCTTGAGAGGTTTGATGAAAGCCAGAACACAATGTTACAGAAAAATCAACTTATTGCAAGACAATGCTGTTTATTTGAGAGTAGAAGTGTTTTAAAACTTGCTCTGCATTTGAAAAAGGCATCATATATGCCATCACGACATCAAAATCTAAACACATGTTGACGTGTCATACTCTATGTTTGTATGGTCTATGAATATGTGCCATATTGAATAATGTAAACTCATATAATACGGCACAACTCTGACACTATCAAATAAATGGTATTATCTCACAATATGTGGCTTGTGTATTTAGCTATATTTCCTGGCAAACCTGATCTTGAAGAATAGTTTGGCGTACACACCTCATAACTCCTCCTTCTGGACTCTAAAATATATTACTGACATAATTTAGACCCTGTCTACAGATTAATGTGACTTAATTTTCCTTTTCTGCCTAATAACACCAGGCAAAAGGGACTGAAAATGAGCCTTTTGACTAACTTGTGTACATTTACATTTATTTGAATGTTTATCAGTGTCTATTGTCCCTTTTCTTAAAATAACTAAATGCCATTCAAATTAACAAATTTTATTAACTTGGAATATGTTGTGTGTTTAAATAGTAAAAAAATAAATAAATAAATAATGATTTGTAATCCAATTAATATTAATGATATTAATAAATTAAAATAATCTACCTTAATTAAAATGCTAAATATTGCTATTTATTTATTACCCTAATAACTATTGTTTCTCAGTTTCTGTTCATTAAAAAAAAAAAAAAAAAAAAAAAAGATTAAAACCAAGCAGATGAAAATTGTGCTGGATAATTGGGGACCTTCGAGTCAAAAAGTTTAAGAAACACTGTTTTAAACAATTCAGACAGACATCCAAAAATAAATAAAAAATAAACAGATCATATAATATTTAGTTGTTGCCAGTTAACATTATATGAAGGTCAAAAAAATAAAATTAACTTGATCTTGTTTTAAGCCCTGCTTTGTATCCTATTCGTGGCAAGTGCCCTGCTTACTTTCTATGTTTTGGTCACTGCATTTTCTAGCTCCTGGCTTTTGTTTTGCTTCTAAACTGACTGCAATTCCAAAGTTAATTATTAATCAGCTTTAATAGATGGTCTGTTACCCGAGGCTTTGATGCATTTCAGGAAAGTCTCCATGTGTTGGTCGCATTTCGCCTCATCGGCATAGAAATAAGTACGAGCGCTTGTCACGCCTTCACGACGATTGCTAAACTTCCGATGGGCTGTGAACTTCTTCTCCCGGTGGTCAGCTCCTGAAAACAATGTCCAAAAGGGAAAGTTTGACCTTTTACTTCAATATTACAAACGAAATGGTGCACATACTCACCAGGGCTTTCTTTCTCTGATGTAGACATGCAAGATCTATCAATAAAGAGAGAGACATTGACATTTTTAATAAAACGGGACTAATGAAACCAACTACTTGTTCTTTAGGTCTTTTTAGAGACCTTTAGCCAACAAAATGAAGAAACAGCAGTTTCTGTAGAGAGGAATCAATAATAACTGCAGAGGCTGCTATGAAGTCACTTTACTGTGATGCACTTCTGCTATTTGTTTCCCTTCTATATTTCAGGGTCAGCACTTAAGAGTCACACACTGACCCCCGCCTGGTGTCTATGCTTATACCCGCATGCATTTAAACTCTCTGCTGTACAACACTGATGCTCAGGCCAGGCATTCAAACCAACTCAAAGGTTACACAGCCACACGGGGCAGTGATTTGTTTAGATTGAGCTCCTGTGATCTCCACATCTTTCGAACAGCACTCACACCAACGCCTCCGCTCTTCCCCATCCACCCCCAGAGCCGAGGATACGCTGCATGGGGCGGCTCAATGGAGACAATGTTTTGACGTCTGTAATGTTCCAACAGGAAGGAATGTTGAGATGTTGATGGGGTCATGAGCGGATGGACTCGAGCCCTTCCAGACTTAAAGTGCTCAGTTAATGCCTCAGCCTGCAGCTAAACAAAACAGAGTTATACATGCAACATATGAGAATCTTACTCCCAAATCTCTCCATTGTTTGCAAGAGAAAATCTGAAGTGATGGGTCTATTTATCTACATATAGCAACTGAATATAAATGCAAAAGAAGAGATATATTTTCAATGAAAAACTTTAGATTTTACCACAAAGTTACAGGGCAAATAAATGATGCATAAAGAAAAAAATATGTAGCCCCTTTTCATTGTTTGCTAGGGAAATTTTGATGTAATATCTCTTATTATTAACATTAAAGACAAATATAAAATCAAAAGAAAATAGATTTTTCTAGGCCTATATATTAATGATCTCTATACATCAATAAAAAAATAAATAAATAATCACTTCAAAGTCACAAGAAAAAATGCATAAAGAAAATGTTTTGCATGTGAACCTTTCTGCTCTAATTGTCAAAAAAAAATGTCTCTGCTGTAATTACCTTTACGCTGTTTTTAATAATGTTTGCAGTTATATATTCACACTCATAATACATACTGTATTATTATAATATATATATTAGTGTTGTCAAATTATTAATCGCGATTAATCGCATCCAAAATAAGAGGTTTTGTTTACATAATATATGTGTGTGTACTGTTTATTTATTATGTATATATAAATACACACACATACAGTATATATTTTGAAAATATTTACATGTATATACATTTATATTATTATATTTTATATTATATATAAATATATTTAATATATAAA